TCTGTCACTAGCCCCATAAATGTGGCCTATTTACTGGACTGCCTCCGTAAACATAGGCCACACATCCACATGTACAAAAATCGTGTCGACGGAGCCAAATTTTGATTTTCCCATTTAGGCTTAGTTTGTAGGTTTGTTTTTGCTTTAGAAGCATACTCACCCTCTTTATAGGCTAATCAGAAAGTGCTGCCTTTTTCAGATGTATATTTTTTGTGAAATTTCCAGATTCATTTTTACACGTTTGCGTATCAAAATTTCAACATGAAATTTCACAAAATTAAGACATCTGAAAAAGGCAGCACTTTCTGATTAGCCTGTAAAGAGGGTGAGTATGCTTCTAAAGCAAAAAAATCCTACAAACTAAGCCTAAATGTGAAAATCAAAATTTGGCTCCGTCGACACGATTTTTGTACATGTGGATGTGTGGCCTATGTTTACGGAGGCAGTCCAGTAAACTGGCCACATTATGGGGCTATTCTGTCACTGACCCAAAAACCCAACATTGCCCAACAAAAACATCAGATTTCACACTCAAAATGGCCTCCAAATTACTAAATACGCCACCTGAGGTACAAGTAGACATTGATAATTGAGATGGTTGTACTGAAGTTTACTTACGATCCAGATGAAAAGTGAAATTTTCCGTTCAATTCCGAGAGCTCCCCTCACGATTGTGAACACGTTAATTTGGAAGCCATGGAAACAGGGCAACTCGTACGCGGTCAACTCGTACGCGAGACAACTCGTACGCCAGCCAACTCGTACGCGGACCAAAATTAGCAAATGTAAAGAAATTGAACGATGTTTACGATCGCCAAAAGTTTACCTCAAAACCAATGTGTTTTATTTCTCCATGCCCAAAACAGATGCCAAAATTAACGATTTATCACTGTCTGATTGTATGACTGAATGACTGTGATTGTAGCCATATGTATTTTCAACAATTTAAATTCCATAACATTATCCATTTCGCAACCGATGTGTAGTGCATTGCTGCGGCATGCACTTCCAACCATGCAGCTAGTGTGGAGATTTTGTCAAGACATACATAGCCTTGGTCAATGCTCTCGTCGTTATTCGTACCGTACGCGGTCGTCGGCATATATCCTCACGCGCTATGCACATGCATGTAAAAATACAGCGCGAACAGCGACCTCGTGCGGCCACTATTTTTTATGCAAATCAGTTGAGCACGATCTCGAGCCTTGGTTCATTCAATCGTCGGCAAAAGCTTATGTTTTTCTTTATTTTGCGCTGGATTTCTAGCGCACGACCTCGTATGTGAATACAGATAAGTGTAGGCAGGGCTAATATGTGGAGTGTCCAATCACACCTTGGTAAATCCGGACGTCATCAAATTATTTGCAGCTATTGGCCTTTTGCTGACGTGACAGGAACCACAGTTTTTGTGCATTGGTGCCGTGTGCAGAGTCACACAACGTGTACGTGTATGGATTATGTACGGTGCCACGTTTCACTATGCAAGTTTCCACACAACGATAGACCAATAAGAAAACGACATTTAAGGTCAGCTAAGACTATTAACATAAAGAGCACCACCTCCAAAACCTCACATGGACGATTGAACCAAGGTTCTCGATCGTCCCCAACTGATTTGCATATAAGAATAGTGGCCGCGTGAGGTCGCTGTTCGCGCTGTAATTTTACATGCATGTGCATAGTGCGTGAGGATATATGCCGACGATTGACCGCGTACTGGACGAATAATGACGAGAGCATTGACCAAGGCTAAGCCATACAACGATTTTATTTACACATAGAGCAGGGCCACTATAGCAGTATATTGTTGGAAGTCTTAAAATGCAGCGGACATTGTACGATTTAAATTCTCACTACGTGGCATTATGTAGTGTAGCGTATGGTGTGAGCAAGGATCGGACAGTGTGTGAGTGGCCCGGGAAAACAAATCATAACTTTACAGTTATGAGCAAAACAAGCTGATTTAAAAATGAACTAATTGGGACGCCTCAGTAGCACAAAATAATCAGAGTAATTGCAGAATACCCCGCCACTCGGAAATACACCCCTAAAATCTCTGGCTACGCGGTTGGAATCACTGAGTGGGGGTCCGTTATTTGAGAACGAAGCAGCACAAAAGGAATTGGAGTTGCTGAAAAAAATTTGAAGTCAAAACCTTATATCCTTACGCTAGTCTATACTCAAGCGTACGAGTTGGCTCGCATATGAGTTGGCCCGCGTATGAGTTATCCCGCGTACGAGTTGCCTCGCATACGAGTTGGTCCGCATACGAGTTGTCCTGCGTACGAGTTGGTTGCATACGAGTTGACTCGCGTACAAGTTGACCGATTCGTGTTAATGTTTGAACGACGCGATGCCGTCTTCATGCCCAGCCTACATTCGATGGTTCCCGTATCCTGAATACGATTCCGTTACCGAGCGTGCGCCATGCATCGATTATGATAACAAGTAGAAAATTTGGTATCGGGACAGCTCGTACCCGGGACAACTCGTACCCGGGACAACTCGTACCCGGGACGACTCGTACCCCAGATTTGTGACCCGGGGCAACTCGTACCCTAGACGACTCGTACCCGGGACAACTCGTACCCGGGACGACTCGTACCTTGTACTTTTCTTACCATTTACTTTTCTGTTCCTTTATTGACAAATCCGAAGATGTGGAAAACCAAAAGCCGTTGAGTTTTGGGGAATTGCCAGTGGTGACAAGCAAGAGATTGTTCTGGAGAGATTCTGGCAGCTGGCCGATGATCGTGGAGTTCGCCGAATTCGCGGAAGGAGCTATAGCAATCATGAGCTTCGTTACTTATTTGATCTTCTAAAAAAAGTGGACCGATTCATTAAAATTATAAAAATGTTACATATGTCACCTTCTACACTTTTTATGACATTAATTTTGATAACCATCAACAATCCCAGTAGCGTGTCAGTCTTTTGCATAATTATGTGAAATAATTCAAACGTCACTTAATTAGAATTGTTAAGTGAGTAGCGTGAGATGCCATGTTTCACACGTCATTGTGTTCCCCTTTGCAGGGCTATAACGCCAGCTACTAGGGCGGAGTTTGCTCGTAACTTATTTGATCTTCAGTTATTGCATTACTAAATAAGTGTACCGAGTCATTATGAAATGTTACATAATTATGTCACCTTCTAGTCGGCGCAAGTAAGGCACAGATACGAGTACGCTGCACAGTGTTTTATTTTCAGACGGGTACGAGTTGTCTCGGGTACGAGTTGTCCCGGGTACGAGTTGTCCCGGGTACGAGTTGTCCCGGGTATGAATTGTCTCGGGTACGAATTGTCTCGGGTACGAGTTGTCTCGGGTACGAGTTGTCCAACATTCAAAAATTTAACAATCGATCTTGAGGGGAGCTCTCGGAATTGAATGGGAAATTTCACTTTTCGTCCGGATTGTAAGTAAACTTCATTACAAGCATCTTAATTATCGATGTCCACTTGTACCTCAGGTGGCGTATCTAGTAATTTGGAGGCCGTTTTGAGGTAAAATCTTGTTTTTGTTTGGCTATGTAGGATTTTTGGGGTCAGTGACAGAATTGTGTTGCTGGGCATACAGCATTAGCTTGGACCCCACCAGACTTGCCAGACCATGTCCGAATGTTAAAAAGGCGATAAGTTGGGTCCAAGTTACTCGGACTAACAATCTTTTAAGTACTGTGTAAGCAAAGATAATGATGCCGGTTAATCAGAATTTATCAGCCAAAGATTCTGAGGCATTGACTTCGGAGTTTTTTTAGTTTTGTTTTATTCAAGCACGCCACACATTTACTGAGCCGATTGTGTGCCCAATTTCCGGACGCCACCGTTTTCAAAGTTGTATTTCGGACTCAATTTAAAGACACTGAAATTGTTCACAAAGGTTCAACAAAAAGCATAATTAAAGTAACTAATAGTACCAGCATTTTAATGAATGCAGTTGAAGTTCGTCAACGAAGAAATTTGGCAACCCAAATCGGGGAAACGTCGTTGTGCCTTACGTTAACGCCAGAAAACAGATAACACGTGCTGTCCGCCACAGGCATGTTTAACAAATGGTGGCGCTCTTTTAAGCTTCACAATTAAAGGAGTCAAGTCTGTCCTCGTTCTCTTCTAGTCAAGCGGTACGCCCTCGCTGCTATATTACTATTTGAAACTAATTGAAAGTTCGCCCTGGGGACTATGGCCTGTGTCGTTCAGTACAATGGTAAAATCCTTATTAACGGTGGTTGTGAACTCTAGTTGAAATAAGTTAACATTTTTGTCGGCAAAATTAAAAGTGTGCCCACGGAAAACGTCTTTTTTTTTCGCACCACTTTACTGCTTGAATTGTTTTAAATATAGTGTTTGATGTTCCCTTTCGCAATTTAATGTGGACTTCCTCATGATGACATCACGACCAAACATTGAGCCGAATTTTGAGTTCATAACACGTGGCACTTTTGAAAATGTACCTCTTTTAAGCCAGTGTGTTGTGTTTTCAACCAAATGAAGTGACTTTAATTCGGATGAATTTTTCGCGCTGTCACCACTCTACTGCTCTAAGAGCATTAAATATAGTGTTTGATGTTCCCTGTTGAAATGTAATGCCCTTGTGACACAAGCCTATTGAAATTAGAGGGTAGCTGTCTAAAATGAATTTTATATGATTAAAATAAATAGTGTGCTCATGAGAAAGCGTTGAACAACACAAAATATCTGACTGAAACAATATAGTGTTTAAACGCAAAAAAATACAATCCGAATCAATTTTCATGGAAAATGGCAACATGATCCTCTTGAAAACTAAGAAAATTATGGCCGTTTTACTTTATTGAAAGTCGTTTGTTTCACTAGTTTACAAGGGCATAACCCCATACATTTTACCATCACACTTTTGTCAACTTAAGATTTCTGTTGAAAAGGGACGCGCCTGACAAAATAGTCTAGCACAAAGACAAATTTATGTGCCTTACTTTAATCTTACTTTAATCCCCCCCCCCCCACCGTTAATTGAGAAGGGCGCCCTCAGAATGTAAGATGTCTACGTCCAACTAGAACTAGAGAGGGCGCCTGTCAAACTGGTCGATCGTAAACAAAAGTCATGCATGTCATGAAAGCTGAAAGTTGTGGACGAAACTCCTGAAGTTCAGCAAGAGAGGGAACGTTTTGAGAAAGAACGTTGCAACGTTGACGCACATTTTCTTCATATATCATGTCAATAAAGGTCAGTCATTGTAAAAATATTTAAAATATATGAATCTGGGACTGAGAATCATTTCCAATTTGGTTAAAACTTAAATTGAGAACCTTCTTGAGTATCTTCTTGAATTTCCGTAAACTTTGTACACAAACGCTGAATATAGTCGTGTTCCCTAACGTGGCGCACTTCGAAGCTTACCCAACTTTCCTCGTGTAGTGTTGCCAAACTTCTTTGTTGACAAACCTCAAATTCATGCAGTGAAGTACTGGTACTTTGACCTTATTAATGCTTGCTATTTAACATCTGTGAACAATTTCGGTTTCATAAAATTTAAGCCGAAATTAAAAAACGGTGGCGTCCGGAAATTTGGCACAAATTGGCGGAGTGTGCCCTAACGTGGCGCACTTGAATAAATCTCGGACAATTCCAAATTAACATTTAAGAATTTCTGTTAACTTGATAAATTCTGATAAAACATTATTATCTCTACTTACATACCCAGCCAGATGTTTGTCAGAAAATTATTTCCTTATTTTCGGGGCATTTTCAAAGGGTTCACTTTGCACTAGCCCCATGAATGTGGCCTATTTACTGGACTGCCTCCGTAAACATAGGCCACACATCCACATACACAAAAAACGTGTCGAATTTGCCAAATTTTGATTTTCACATTTAGGCTTACTTTGTAGATTTTTTTTGCTTTAGAAGCATTCTCACCCTCTATATAGGCTAATCAGAAGGTGCTGCTTTTTTCAGATGTTTAATTTTTGTGAAATTTCATGTTGAAATTTTGATACGCAAACGTGTGCAAATGTATCTGGAAATTTCACGAAAAATGGACATCTGAAAAAGGCAGCACTTTCTGATTAGCCTATATAGAGGGTGAGAATGCTTCTAAAGCAAAAAAAACGTAAAAAGTAAGCCTAAATGTGAAAATCAAAATTTGGCCAAGTGGACACGTTTTTTGTACATGTGGATGTGTGGCCTATGTTTACGGAGGCAGTCCAGTAAATAGGCCACATTTATGGGGCTAACTTTGCACTTGAAAATAAAATTGGAAAATCACGCCAAAATAATTTTTTCTTTTAACTTTGTAGCGGGTAAATAAACTCGCGATTTATGAACGGGAGTGTTTATAACTTGATGAAATTTCACTTTCTGTAAAATTTCAGTTAAAACTTTTGCTCTAGCTAGGCGCTACAGCCAAAAAATCAAAGTGCGCCACGTTAGGGGCCGCCCCACGTTAGGGTACATCAACAATACTGCATTCTTTCCTTCCTTTTGTTTAGTATTTTGTGGAAAGAAGGGAATGTTTTTGATTTATGAGGGAAATTTCGGGGTAAAAGAGGAAGACAACCAGAAAACGGGTTCAAAAATACAAGATGTTAACTTTGAAAGCTCAATGAATGCTCGATGCTGATCATGCTGATTGGCTGATAAAAAAATTAATATTTTTTTAAATTTGTTAATTAGCCAATCGGCATCAGGCTTTCATTCTGTCTGGCTTGCACGCGTGCTGTGAGAAGTACAACATGCACGTTGTCTCTGATTGCAAAAAAAAAAAAAATAGGAAAGTCACATTTTCTTTGAAAGTGCATTTCAAAAATTACAAAATACATGAGTTAGTATGAAGAAAAGAGACTGGCCTGCAAATGTCACTTTGGTACTGAACAGTCATGCAAAAGTCATTTTTGAACGGAACTTGTAAAAAATAGAGGTGTCCTGAAGGTAACGATAACCCAAGTCTCAGTACACAATGTACATGTAAGCCCCATCGGAGTTACAACTGCGCGTGTGCACATCACATGACAACAATGGTCTGTGGATAAACAAAGCGGAAAGACTTCCATACCCAACCTCGTCCCCAGTGCTTACTTTATTTCCAACCGCTTTTCCAATAGTAAACCCTGGATAGGAAACTTTCTTCCTTTATCCTGATTGGATACCGCAATTGGCTAGTAATGGGTTTTTATCGTGTACTTGGTGCTATATATTCACAACGTGCAGTATGTGTTTTCGCGATCATTCGTCCACGCCTTCTCGAAAATACTAATTTCCTTTCCAATTTGCTCATATTAATATGAAATACATGTATGATACTGCATGTTGTCTCGATAAGATTGTAACAGTTTGATTTCAAAAATCGTGTTTTTCGTAACTCACGCCGTGCTTGCGCTGCTACGAATTGACTCTGTTTTTACCCCAGACACCCCATACAAAAACAAACGCTAATGTGTAAAGCATATCCAGGCACCAGACTGTTCTCATTTGCATACGTGTGCAAAAATCTTGCACATGCAAATGATCCAATACCAGGGTGAGAGAGCAGGTAGTGGTGGGCGCGTACTGCTCGACACCGTGGGACGAGGTTGTTCCATACCCCACCTGGATATCACTTGATGCCCTTTGCAAAAAGAAAAAACCCTATGAGACTCGGGTCTGAAAAATTGCAAATGTGGCCAATTTACTGGACTACCTCCGTAAGTAAAGGCCACACTCGGAACATGTACCCCAGTAAATGCTTCCATATTTCCCTGGCAAAATTGGACTTTTTAGGACATGACATTATCAGAAAAATTTAGTGATGTCCATATTTGTACAATATAATTCTTTCCTATGGCAAAAAAGAAGATGGAACTTTTGTTGCACAAAAGTTGCAGCATAGACATCATGATCAATACAAAACATCTTAAACCATGGTGCACAAGCAACATTTTTCATCTGCTTCAAAACAAGAAATTTCTTTGATTTCGTTGGTACCCTGCTATGAATTTGCATGCGTGTGGCGAACTGTTCATCCACAGACCCTAATCCTTGTCATGTGATGTGCGCACATGCAGTTGTACGAAGGACATTTACTATTAAGTCAGGGAGCCAGACGATGCTGTAACGATAGCAATTGCTGCAACAGTAGCCCCTGCATTGTTTTTAAATTTTGGACATGATCTGGCGATAGTACTTACATGGCGTTTCAAATAATTAACAACCCAACCATTTGCCAACAAAAACATCAGATTTCACCCTCAAAACGGCCGCAGAATTACTACATATGCCACCTGAGATACAATTACAAATTTATGATTTTAACTTAGATCGAGATTGATACAAGTTTACAGTCTGGATGAAAGTGAAATACCATTTATGAATATCGGCGAGGGCTCCATTGCAAATATCGTGCGGACATCATTTTCCAACTTTTCCTCCTTTCTTTTCCAATTTTAGTAAACTATGGCGACAGGCGTCCAACATGACCTGATGAAGCAGACACAGTGCTTTTGGTCAATGCTGGATGAGCTTGCAGAGACCGATGAAGATGCATACAGGAAGTTCATGGCCACAAACCTCCAAAGAGGACAGCAAGAATTGACACCGGCCAAGCCATGGATGTGTGTCAAGACCCGCATCATGGTAGGTTCACTTAGGCTGAATATATGTGTGTGTTTAGGGTAACATCCTAACAATTATCCAGGTTGGTAGGTAGGAAAATTATTTGGGTTATAACTCTCTTTATGTTTGTCTGTCAGTCTGTTTTACTTTTACTTTGGTTATTTATAGGGTACACACCCTTCACTGGTATTCTGTTTAATTAACCTGTTCAATTGTTTAATTTAACCAACAACACACCAAAAGACTCACCTAGCATGCCTATGGCAATTCCGTAAAATCCAACATACGTCGGACCCCATGATTAACATGTACAAGGTTGTTAAGGTGGTGGTACCTTAGTTGGGCCTGTAATTGTTTTCCACTCATTATATGTCACATTCTAGTCTCCCACATACATATAAGAACAGGCTTCTCCTAATCTTTATCCCAATTTACGGACGCATCTTTTTGTCCTTTTTGTTATAGTCTTCTTGGCTATAAAATGTTATCATTGTTACTACACGGACCTTTGTCAGTGTACCATAGCGATGAGGACACTCAGGATGTCGTCATGAAGTCTGAAAGTGATTATGATGCGTCAGGTTCAGTGAGAACTAGAACTTTGCATTTCAAGTTCATTGATGCTTATGAGTGAAGATTAATGATCATGATCCTAAATGTACACACATGTAGGTTTCTTCTACATGTACTTGTACATGACATAGATAATTTCTTTCTGATCGAAGGCCAGGCAAAGTAATTTATTGCTAGAGATCGCCAATTACTAGAGATCGCCTTAAAAATAATAAAAAGGGGGGGGGGGGCTGGACACCACATTATACTAGGGGCCCTCTTCTGGGTAAAGAAAAACATATGTCATGTTTATCAATATGTTATACTCGCGCTTACATTTTTAAAGCTTTTGTACTTTGTTTCTCCACTTTTCAATGTTAATTATTGAATACATTTTAGTTGTTGGATCATTCGGAAAATACTTCCAAATGCGCAGTTTTTTTCTCATCACAAAAAGGTGGGGGGGGGATGATTCAATAGCCCATCCCTCTGGTCAAAAAGTGGGGGGGGGGATACACATATCCATCCACCCCCCCCCCCCCAGGAATTACGCCCCTGCCCATCGCCATTTTGAAAAATGGTGCCTTTGCAAAATAAAGCAATTTTAGGGCCCAATTTCATGCGAATTTCACAGAAAATACAAGCTCACACGCCTGTGCACGGCTTCCACCCATCTTTTTTACAAACGTTCAAGTTCATGGTCCACAAAACGCTCTAACAGCAAAGAAAACGAGGGCAAACAAATTGTGATTTGGCCACGTAGGTAATTCTGGGCCTACCATATTTTACAGGTCTGCACCCTTTGGGGAAAATGTAAACCTTGGTTTTCTGGCTAAGTATACAACACAGTTTCCAAAAATGTATAGTTTTGCTAATCCCCACAAATTTTGAATGAAATTACAATAGATTGGGCCAAAAATAAAAATACTTCTGCTTCCAATTAAATAGGGTCGGTCGGTCAGAATTTTTTGTTTGCCAATTTTTTTAATGCTGATTGAATGGGGTATTCAATTATAAATATGCGAAGTTTGAGCCTGAACTATTTCCATTGCACTACGAATGCTTTACAAAAAAATGGCCACAAAAAGTGAATAAAACCTACCTTAAATATTGTCCACATATTTACTTTCGATAATTCTTTAATTCCATTAAAAAATAATGTAAAATTCAGGTCGTGCGCACCATATGCACAACACTAGTCAAGACGGGGAACTGGCCAAACGTTTGTGTGTGATGCATGCACTGTGTGCATGTGTGGTGGGCGACAGACCTCTTTTTACGATAGAAAATTTCAGGGAAACACGCTGCATCATTTCACTTCAAATATGAGTAGTGCGATCTCAAAATGAACTCTTGAACACGGATAATACATCCATGTACATGTACACAGACAAGAGAGATCAAGTTCTGTGAGTTAACTTGCAAAAATGTTCTTTCTCCATCGGTGTTTTCTTGGCATTTGTCAAATGTCGAATCCAACGATAGCCATGCACAGACTGGTAACTGCATTTTCATCATGTCTGTTAAATTGGCCCCTGCGTGGCGTGGTGGGAACCAGTCATCGCCGCATTGAGCTAGCATTACTCACGTGTTTATCGTCACCGCGACATCAAATTGTGAAGTACATGTAGTTATCGCGAAGCAAATTTCTAAAAACAACAGAGGTTTCTTGTGAACAAAACTAGCGAATGTAAGTTAGAAAACAAATAAATACTTGACGCAAAAGGGTTGTTGAGAGGTATTTTGTGAAGACAGAAAAGACAACAAGATTTTTTTTTATTTATTCAATCATTAATTTTTAATTTTTTGGGGGATTTGCTGATAAATTTTTTAGGGTCGCAGCCTACAAATAGGGTCGATCGGGTAACCGGAATTTTTTTTTGGCCTTACCCCTGTGGTGTGTGCTGTAAGTTGTTATAACAAGCCAATCACTCATTATCAAAGAAAAACAGATTGAGTTTGCCTACTAAAGAATTTTTCACGTAGGACAGGTGATGATGAGTACTCCATTCGAAATGAAATTAAGCACCTGCAATAGTTCCATATCGCCATTATTCCTTTTACCTGGTGTATACATACCGGTAAACATACATTATCCGTAAGCAGCGGGGCAGCACCAAATATGGGATTGTTTGTGGCAGCTTTTTCAATCTGTATTGTTGATAGAATTTGCATCAAGGTCTGTGAGAGTCAATGGTGGATGACCTGAGAATACAAACCAAATAAACGGGGTAGTGACGTTGGAACGAGGAACACTGAACTTGTAATGGATTTTTTCTGGCTCCTGGTAGTGTAGGTAAACATTTGTCGAGCACACCATTGTACAATCAACAATACATACAGGGGAAAGTCCAAGGTTTTGCCCTTTAATGTATAGCGTTGTGCATGTGTGTTATACTTACGCAGTATTGAACAAGTCCCTTTAACGTCGGGTTTGCTATAACTGGGCAGACGGCGCTTTATTCATGTAAACAATTTTATATATTCGCAACACAAAAAGTAGTGCCCACCTTTGCCATGTTCGGGAAACATGTGTGCTAATTGGATGAGATGTTTTTGTTGATATAATTTATTATTGATCCCTTTTGAACGTTGTAAGGGGTAAATTGCACTTTTCATTATAACTACAACTATTTCATTGAGGAGTGATAATTTTACTCAGTGGGAGTGTTACATTCGCTCTCTCAATGTTTCCGTAGTTGACGTGTATCGGGGTTAACAATAGCTGAGGGTTACTGGCACTTTATTCCAGAAATTCACCTTTTCCGAAGAATGATAGGCATCTTATCTGGATGTTAAACGTAAGTGTATTGTTTATGCTTTCAGATAAAGTGCTTTAGGCCAAATGATTCGAGCATTTGGGGCATGAAAATGTGTGTTTTTCTGGCTACATTAATTTATGTAAACACGAATTGTGCATGTCATGCATATGTATGCAACCAACTCGTACCCACATTATTTGTTGCAGCATGTAGTGGCTAAAATAGAGTGAGAGCATGCTGGCTTGAGTTTTTTCATTCCTTTTTTATCTGGATTGTGCAGTGGATCCTGTATCAGTAGAGCACTATGGACAGTCATCACTGTTGCTGTTATTCAGTCACAGCCAGTTAATCTGATCATGAAACGAGCTGATCAATCCAAGATCAACTAATCCAAGACTGTTGAGAGCTTTATTTCCGAGAGGTACACACCCTCATTCCTGAGGTGGAGTTCACACCCCCTTCTTGGCAGGAGTCAACTCGCTCCTGTTCCATGATATACTTGTACATGTACATAGTCTGGTTATATTCAATTTACAAATGTAAATAAAATATAAACCGATTGTACGTGCTCTATGGCGAAGCTTAGATTGTCAGAATAACCTAGGGGTCAACCAAATTTAAATATCTAAGTGTGCACCAATAGGGTGGTATGTTCAGTGTGACCCATGAGTGTGTGAAGGAGAAATAGGCCAATCAAACTACAGGGTGGCACAGCACAGACGCATATACCGGTAGCAACCATATAAAGGGAATAACATTTGCAAACATCGAAAAAAATAAAACTACCCAGTTTTTTCGAAATACCTTAGTAGGATGTTGGTGAATGACAGCCTCAAGCATCCTGTAAAATATGGCACCTTGTGTGAAGTTATTTTCAAGAAAATGGTATATTTGTATGCATTTCCAACGGTGGTCGGCTGACCATGTGTTGGAAAAACCTAACTATTTTTCAACTTCTACTCCAAATTTACCATTTTTCAGTCCAAATTTTGTTTGCTAAATTGGTTACATGTTCATGAACTGGTGCAGGCCAGATAGACTGATTCCCTTGCCTTACAATTTTCCATCATCTATAAATTGATCCATTTTATATTTTGTGGAGTCAGGAAACCAGACTACATGAACATTTTTGTTTTTCTTGGTTTCCCCACCTTTTTGAACACAAAACTTAAAAATTGTCAGTGTAACAATATACTAACCCCTCAAATAGTTCATTTCTGAAAATTACAGCAAAAGCCAATGATGTACATTCCCTTTAAGATATCAGATATCATATCAGCATAGACGCATGGCAACAATGAGATATACTAAATGCGCCTTTTGCATATAAATGATCAAAAGCGCATTACAGAAGCAACAATAAATGCATCCTGCATCCATAAGAAGCATGAGGCTGACGGCTGTCATCATTTGCATGCATTATGAGGTCAGGTGCCCAGTCTATCCCTATTTTATAAAGGAACTGAATCATTTTTGTGGGACACAGGATCCATAGGGCAGTGTTGTAGTACTCGGTACTCGTACTCGAGTACTAATCAAGTACTTTTTTTAAAGTACTCGCACTCGAATGTCAAAGTACTCGTATTCGAAATGACGGTACTCGCACTTGGGCAGCAAAGTACTCGTACTCAACATGTCCAAATTGTACTCGATCATCAAAGTACTCGTACTCGAATAGCAGTACTCGAAAAAAATAAATGGTATAGC